TTTTTTTTTTTTTTCATTTTAGCTTTGTGAATTTTTAGCTTTTCGGTTTTCATATTATTTTTCACATTTCTCTTGTTTTCTTGTGTGAGTTCGGAAATGTGCGTGTTGGCTGGGACAGGGTGTTGGTTGTTTCAACTTCAAGTGATCTTTCCTGCTTTTTGTTATTAATAATAATAATTAAACTGTAGCACCAAGCTGCTGCTGTTGGTTAATTATTTTATGGCCCATCTACAATCGCATTTGTCGGAGGCAATATCTGTCATTATCTGTCAGCCGTCTTTGATAACATTGATCTAATCAAAATAAAATGGCAAACATTAGGATTAACGTACAATTTCTTAGAATTTGATGTTATTGGAGGTCAAAGTCAAGATCAAACTGTCAATTTCCACCAAAAGTTCTGCAATTCGTATCTAAATTCCAGCATTAGGCTCAAGATTAAACCGTCAAGCCCTTGAGGAAGCGTCATGTAAATCCAAATTCAAGACCCACATAAATCATATGGATGATTCATCTCCAAAAGTCTCAAATCACCTTGAAGGATTAATAAAGATTTGTTATCTTTTTATATTCATTTGATCTATATAAACTCTGCTATGAAGAATCACTACTAACTTGTGTAGAAGCTGCATTAGGGCCATGTAAATCTTTGTTTTAACAATCTCCCTTATTGTGCATTTGTGCGTGTGTGTGTGTACAAATATTACTTAGTAATATTTTTTCAAATATTTTTAGTATGCTTTTCTTTTTTGCTTTGCGTTCTGAATGTTATCATGATATTTTTTCACATTTTTAATGGTTGCCAGTGCTACTCTGCTTCTGGAAAAAGTGCGGGAAGGTGAGTTCCAACGTGAAGAAATGATGGACTTCAATTAAGAAAGACAATTAATTATTGTCCAACAAAAAAGAGACATTTAACTCGAGGAAAATCTTAAACGATAATTGGCATTTGCTGTGCATGTAGAGGGTGCTGTATGATGTTACTGGTTGATTCTCAGTGTCGATATTTTGAAGAGTAAAATGTGTCGATTTTTACAGGAGGGTATCACGGCAGTGGAGAAGCGCACTGCTGACATAATTCAAGAGACCCGTAAGATTCAGATAAAGAAAAAGAGTGATACCTCTAAATCTCAAAACCAGTTCTCAAATCTTGATGACCTCAGACAACCTACTGCACAGGCTCATGTGCAACCTCAGATGCACGCTAACTTGGAAACCCAACTGAATGCATCTCGCGACGTAAGGTTGCAACTATGTTGCATTTTTATCAAAATCCGACTAATTTCGTAGACTAACTTGAATTTTGTTTGTTTTACTTTTACTTTATTTAGTTATTAGAATGCAGAAGAACCAATAAAATGCCATACCGCTTGGTGTCACTAATGAAAGCTAGCTTTCAAAAATAAGAATTGTATCCAACATTGAAGGAAACAACTTTTTCTTGTAAAATATTCATTAAAACTATGGTAACAGTTACATGAGATTTCCAGACAAATTAAGGTAGCAGTGAACTTCGTGATATACGATAATTGGTGAGGCTCTTAATCTCTACTGCACATGAGGAAAGAAAACTGTCATCTGGAGCCTATTGTGATCCCTAGAGTAAAAAATCTTTTTTGTAAGCACGAGCAATATGCATTTCTCACAAACATATTATAATATACTTCTATATTTTACATTTTCTTCTTTTACTTCTGCATTTTGGGTCGATCTAAAACTTTAGCATTGGCTCATTGTTTGAGGATCAGCTTTGGACATAACAGAGATTTGCATGATGTATGTCTGTTCTTAAAACTACTCAGGTTGCAATGGCGATGGCTGCTAGAGCAAAACTTCTATTGAGGGAGCTGAAGACGGTCAAAGCCGATCTTGTGTTCACAAAGGAACGTTGTGGTCAGCTGGAAGAGGAAAATAGAATCCTTAGGGAGAGTCGCGAAAAAGGTGACGACCCAGAAGATGATGATTTGGTCAGTAGTCTCTCTCTAGAAGAAAAAAACTAGCATATTATGTCAAAACATACAAAAAATCATCACCTTCAAGTTAACCTACTTTGTTTAGGCCACATTTATCCCTCTTTTAAATAAGTTACCTCAGGATTAGATTTCGTTTATTTTTGACACCTTATTCGACAAGCATCTCCGCTCTTGTGTTTATTTTTTGTTCTTTTTTTTTTTTTTCGCATAGTAAACCTTATAAATATATTTTGTTGTATACTTCAGATAAGGCTGCAGCTTGAGTCCCTTTTGGCCGAGAAAGCTCGACTCGCCCAAGAGAACTCGGTGTATGCACGGGAAAACCGTTTTCTGAGAGAGATTGTCGAGTACCACCAGCTTACAATGCAAGACGTCGTGTACTTGGATGAAAGCAATGAAGCAGTCAAGTTTGCAACACATGCGAATTTTCAACCGTCTGTCACAATACCCGCACACTCTCCAGCTCCTTCAGTTCCCCACGGTACAATTTCTCAAGTGACTTCTCAATATTTGAATCCAGAAAATTAAATCCTTATTTTCCAAATGCCTGCTGGAGAAGCTGCCAGCCATTGAGAAAAAAAGGTTGGATTGTATCAATTGTATGTAACTTCTAATTTATGTGTATAGTAAACTATAAAAGTTGGTGTCATTAAGCTGAGTTTGCTCTTCATTGAGTGTTTGTAAATTGTTGTGTTTGATGAATATATTTACATGTTAGAGTCTCTAGTCATTGCAAGATAAAGGGGTTAAAGGGGACATCATGTTGTAATTTTATTTTTATTTCCCTTTTTTTTTTTAAATATCTGGTCACGTTAAGCCTAGCCATCTCGATTTTTTTACGTAAAAAAAAAAAAAAAAAAGGTTAAGTTCTGGACAAAAAAATTACAGAAAAAATGGGGAGTGGAACAAAATAAAAAACACGTATTTTGTAAATACGTTCTCTGCACAATTTAATTGTAAAACGTATTTAGTGGATACGTTTTCTTTTGTAAAAAAAATTTGTAAAACGTATTCACAAAATACTTTTTATAATGAAATTGTAAAGAAAACGTATTTTGTGGATACGCGGTTTTTAGGGATGAAAACGGTCGGGAACGATCGGAAAAACCCCAAAACCATTCCCTTTCCTGTATTTTTTTACCGGGAACGGGATCGGAAACGGTTGAGCCAGACGGGAAAACAAAATCGATATTACGGGATATCGGGAACGAAAGAGTTCGATCGGGAACTAGCCGATTACGGTCGGGAATCGGAAATACTATACGGTATAATGCATGTAACAACTTAAAACATTAAGCACGAACATGTTAGTTTATGAGACATATATCATCTGTAAGCATTTCAGAGTACTTGAGTACAATGAACATGTTAGTTTGGTTCATGGCAGTTGGTCACCTGTGAACTCATCAAAACATCAATTTGTCTCATGTTTGCTCGAATCCCATTACCAAATCCAGCAATTGAAACTACATAGCCATGTTAACAGTATACTCAAAACCATCATATATCTATTTAGTCAATAGTGACGGAGAGCAGATCTGGTCTATGTGATGTACTGAATCGCATCAATTAAACCAATCGAATCAAATTAGCAACCAATGTGTTCTCACAAGAGAATTAAATCTACTCCAATTGATGAATATGTGTACAGTATACTGGATTACTAACGTGAATCCGTGATTGATATACCTGTTGTTGGGTTTGGAGGAAGAATGGTGACGCTGCGCACCACGACCGGCTGTGGCGGCTCCAGTTGGAGCCGGCGCTTGGATGCAGACGAGGTAGCAACAGAAGCGGAAGCGGAAGCACGTCCAGGTCCATCTCCACCTGCAGTTGGCGGTTGCTGCTCCATCTCGTCTCGCTGTCGCAGGCGGCGACCGGCAAGCTTGGGACGGCCGGACGGCCGGACGGGAGGCGTTGTGGCAGTTCACGACGAACCACGGACGGGCTGCGACTCGTGGTGGACTGGTGGGTGGTGGCTGCTAGGGTTTTATCTTTTAACTGGTTTGCGAATTGCCGTGTTGGGCCGTGGGCTGCCGGATGTGGGGGTGGGGGAGTTAGGAACGGACTTGGGCTGAATGGGTCGTTGGGCTAGATACGAGGTTTGGGCCGTTTGGCCACTGTAATATATGGGAATACCGCGGGAATTTTCCCGCCCAAATACGGGATCCGCGAATACGGTCGGAAAACACCCCTTCCCGAATTCGTTCCCATTCATGTTCCCATTTTTTTTCCTGTTCCCGTTTCCTATTTTTTCCTGCCAAAACAGAATACGGTCGGTATATTCGGGATACGACATCGGTCGGTACGGGATTTTCCTGTTCCCTTTCATTC